TGATCCAGTCTGGAGTACTAGCTGATTGGGTATGACTTATTTAGGAAGCCAGTCAACCTGAATAAGAAGGTTTGTGCTACGGAGTCTGCCGTACCAGGAGGGGTTGTGAGTTTTTTACCAGAGTTAGACCAGAAACCTTTCCTCGTGCAATCTTTTCTGCTTTGACCTGTTTTCAATCCGTGATTGTCAAAAAGACCAGAGGTCCTATTTTTATGTAGCCTAACTAAATTTGATCAAGATTTGGATGTTTGGGTATGACATTTGTAAGAAAACCAGTAAACTTACAAATGAAGAATAATTTTTATGCATTTGCTCCTTGTGGATATTAAATTAGGAACATGCATTTGGAGACCTGGGAGCACTATCCATTGTACTATGGATCCACAGGTCAATTACTGTTTGTTTTCTTTAATTTGAAAAGAATATTTATTTTTAAGATGTTTAGTCATATCAATAATATTGTTTTTATTTGATAAAATAAATTAATTACAATAATTATATTGAGATTTTTGTGAATTTTTATTAAAAGTAAATAAATTCAATATTTTTTAAAACTGTTATTTGTTAAAATACTAGTTATTTCAGTATCTAAAATTTCATTACTATTAAAACTATTTTGAAATTCTTTATGTTCAAAATTTATAAAAGTGATTTCTTCTGGAACTCAATATAAGTGTCGAATTCTTTCATTTTAAAAAAAATAGTTAATGACAATAAAATAATTTTTTTTACAATATATTTATATATTAATAATTTGATATAATTTCTATTGAAAATCTTTACTTAATATTTATTATTACTTTTAGAAAATACTAAAACTAATTGATATTTTATCAACCAATAATTTACCAATTGTTACTTTTAAAAGTATTAAAACCAATTAGTATTTTATCGAAACCAATAAATCGGTAACAATATTTATTAATACCTATTGGAATCCTAGTTATGGATTACTTACTTAATCAAAGGTATATATTAATAGATTTTCTTATTCTTTATTGCCATATAATCCTCTACCACAATTCTCTATGATCTCTTAGGATCCCTATAGTGGCTAATAATTACTCAAGACAAGTACAGTATATTAATTATATATTATTAGTACAAATAATATAATTTTTAAGTGATACTTTATCCTTTATTGTGTCTCTATCTACTGCTATGGCTACTCTACTTTTATTAACTGATTCTCACTGTATTTATACTTGTCGTGACGCGTCTGCTAATCTACCGTCGCGTCATGCAAATTAAGCTTTAGGCTATTTTAACTTCTATATTCTTGATCCGCTGCATCGCTCCAAGTCACGTGACTGTAGGCGATCCGGATCGATCCACTCATTTTTCCCTGCTAACAATACATACCGGATTAATGTCCATGCATGTGTGACTCCGTAAAGTGCAAGATAACCAAATTCGATAAATTAACACATGGCATGTTCTTTGTGGCACCTGAGGCAGCATACGCGTCGCGTTATTTAGGGGGAAACTAAGGTTCTCGTTTTTTTATTTTTTCTTAACCTTAACAAAGTTCTCGTTTTTTTATTTTTTCTTACACCTTAACAAATCCTTCAATATGTCTTCTGGAATCATTACATCATATTTGAATCAAAGAAGAAATAAATCTTTTTGGGGCTTTTTGTGTCGTTATCGAGACACGATAGTTGCCACCACTTCAACTACTTCCGCCTGGCGAGGCCTTAACGATTCCTGGTCCGAACGTTTTTTAGCTGAATCAAAAGGACTATTAAACCCAACTGACTTTGATAACTTGGAAAAACAGGTGTGTTCTTTTCTATTTTGCAAAGGGAGGGTAACTCCTAGTAAGTCGCGTCGCGGTTTCACTCGGAGAATTACTGGTTAGACAACTTGGGTAACCACCCCCAGGTCCTCTACTCAGGCATCCTAACTTTGTCGTTGGTAAAGGTCTACTGATTCCGGAGGTCGAATCGGTTATGTGTCTTTGGACATCCCTTTATTATCTGATTCCTCTATATTATAGTGTATTCTCCCTGCCACTAAATAAAAAATTACACACTGTTAACAAATGCT